GGCAATGATTAAATTGCAGTGGAAGCTTTACATTCTTGAAAACATTTTTCAATTTCACATAAAAACTAAAACTATAATAAATTTTAAAACATATAGTTTGCAGTGGCGGATCCAAAAAGGGGGAGGGGGAATTTGGGGTGGTGGAAAACGCCCTTTTTGTGATGATCAATGTTTTTGAATGAAGACATACAGTTGGATCCCCCCTTTATCTTGGGTTGGAACCCCTTTTAAAAATGGATGGATCTGCCCCTGGTATTTACACAGGTAGTCTAGTGGATAGTTTACATGCATGAAATATTTGTCACTGGATATAAAGCAACCAATAATTAATCAATGCATGACGAAATAGATCAAATTGCTTTAATTTTTCTTCACAAGGTTTCATGGTTCACTCTTTTTTGTGTACAAAGTAATTGCATGGAAGATAAATGATTACAACTTTTAGATGGCGTTGTACTCTAATCAAGGTATAAAGAACCATATTTGTTACTCTTTATTTAAATGAAAGAAACTTTTAATCGTCAAAAACATTTTTAGATCCAAAGATTAAATAGTAGGATGTTTAAAAATCAATTTGAAAACTAATTACAAACTATTTAGTTTAATTTGGAACACAGCATTTATTTCAAAATAGCCAGTAGCAATTTTTGTTTTAATATCTTGATTACGATACAATGAAATCTTACCCTTGTGGTCATTCATGCATAGTTACTTAGTACACGGAAAAAGTATGTACTATGAAAATTAGAAGGCAAATTCAAGCAATTTGATTGGACGAGAAGTTGTAAGTATGTGCTAAGTTTATAGTCATTTAAATCTCTTTGGTCTGTCACCAGAATATTCTAAAGTGGATATTTAACTTATGTTGAACAATAAACACTGAATAATGTCTGATAAACAAAATGAAAAGCACTACATATAGATTGTCTCAAGATTATTGATTTACCATCTAGAAAATACCTGAAAAATAACTTAAGACTTTTAAAATGGCTTAGCATTAGCACTTTTTTTGGTCAAGAAATTTAGACATTTTAGAGTTGCACTTGAATTCTTATACTAGTTTGCATTAATTAAATAATAAAATGCTTCGCTGAGCGCAGCTGGATACGACCGCAGACCCCAACCCTGAACAGTTGGGGCAAAAATGGACACAATATTTGTGATTGATACAGGTCTGAATTTGGATTGTAAATAAATATTTGACACATAATAGGTTTCTGACACCGAATAACTGTAGTCAAAGAACTTAGAATTGGTTATATGATTTGAATTTATATTCAATTTTTTGCAATACACTATGCTGTTGCGAAATTGAACCCCCCCCCCCCCAAAAAAAAAATTAACCCCTCTTTTTTTTGCTTTTGTGAAATACACAATGCTGTTGTTGCGTATTGACCCCCCCCCCCCCCCCCCCCTTTTTTGGCAAAAAAAAATAATATATGAAGAAATTTTCTTTTTAATTTCTGTAATCTGAAATGGAAAAAAAAAATTGCCCCTACAATTTCTTTTTTACCCCCCTCTCCCCTAAATTGTTTTTCACATCCCCCCCCCCCCCCCCTCATTTTCCAAAAAAAAATTCTTTCCCTCAAGATATGGTCATAATCTCAATTCAAATTTCTAATGGAGTTTGCAACCATAATTACCAATTTAAATACATCATAAAAGTCTTAAACTAGAAACCCCCCCCCAAATTTTTTGAACACCCTTATGATTCATCACCCCCAAACTCAATCCCAGCCTTTCCTTTGTGGTATGGTACCCCTTGAAGTACAATTTCAGAGTGATCCATACACTTGAACACAAGTTATTGTCTGGAAACTAGAAAAATGCTTGTTTTTTGGCCCCTTTTTGGCCTCAAATTCTTAAACATTTAGGGCAATTACCCCAAAACTAAAACCCAGCTTTCCCTTTGTGATATGGAACCTTGTAGTATAATTTCATAAAGATCCATACACTAACACACAAGTTATTGTCCTGAAACTAGAAAAATGCTTGTTTTTTGCCCCTTTTTGGCCCCTAATTCCTAAGATTTTGAGGCAATTACCCCCAAACTCAATCCCAGCCTTCCCTTTGTGGTATGGTACCTTGCAGTACAATTTCAGAGAGATCCATACACTTCAACACAAGTTATTGTCTGGAAACTAGAAACATGCTTATTTTTGGCCCCTTTTTCCTAAACGTTTTGGGCAATTATCCCCAAACTCAATTCCAGCTTTCCCTTTGTGATATGGAACCTTGTAGTACAATTTTAGAAAGATCCATATACACTTACACACAAGTTATTGTCCTGAAACTAGAAAAATGCTTGTTTTTTGTCCCTTTTTTTGGCCCTAATTCCTAAAATTTTGAGGCAATTACCCCCAAAATCAATCCCAGCATTCCCTTTGTGATATGGAACCTTGTGGTACAATGTCAGAGAGATCCATACAATAGCACACGAGTTATTGTCTGGAAGTTACAAAAATGCTTATTTTTGGCCCCTTTTTGGCCCCTAATTCCTTAATTGTTGGTACCATAACCCCCAAAATCAATCCCAACCTTCATTTTGTGGTATTGAACCTTATGGTAAAATTTCATAGAGATCCATTCACTTTAACTAAAGTTATTGTGCGAAAACCAATGTGTCTTCGGACAATGACGACGACGCCAAAGTCATACCAATATACGATTTTTGCGGTCGAATAAAAATTCAGCAATTTTTCTATTTGCAAACATGCATAACTCTAGAACGGTTGTGTATACGTTTTATAACATTTGGTTGAAACAAACTAAAGTTAGAGAACGGAAATGAAATATTCAGCAATTTTTATGTTTAAAAAGGGACATAACTCAAGAATGGTAAAAGTAAAGCCACCAAATTTCGTACTTAATCTGTATTATGTAGTAATAAGCATTGTGTATAAGTTTCATAACATTTGGTTGAGGCAAACTAAAGTTAGAGAACCGACACAAAAAAATTGTACATTATCTTAGTTTTGAGGTACTGTGGATTCATTTATTTTCGTGGATAGAGAAAAAAAGACGTTTCGTGGTATTCGTAAATTCGTGGATCTCTGATTACAAAAAAAAAATCAGATACGTAATTCGTGGATTTCTTTTTGATTTTGGAGATCATATAACCTCCTTGGTTTGATCAATAATAAAACAAAAAAAAGAAGGAATTCATTGAAAAAGTTTTGAATTGTCAAAATCCTCGCTTGGTCATTCTAGGTTAAAGTGTTCATTGAAAACTTCTATTACAATAATGGACAGAGACAACTAATTATTTGTTTGTTTTACAATTTATAGATTCTTGTCGGAATTTTATAAGGCATTTAAATTTTCTATGATTGAAAGCTCAGTTCCCTAATCACGATAAGATAAACAGTCATATAAGTAAAAGGTGTGAAAATAAATGTTCCTGTCATAAACAATATTACCTACGGGCAATATCCCCGTACTTAATCCTATTGATTTTTAATCACCAGTAAACCAAACTATGACACGATAATTAACAACTTGCAGTTATTTTCCATGAACAGTTTTAATCAATTTTAAAAAGTAAATTATCACTGATATTCGATATATTAATTGTTGATTTAATCAAATACTTGTATCTTCTTTCAATAAAAACACGTGTTATGTTATAATGTTTATTGAGGGTCAACACTATACTAGAACTGCATATAACATAACCGGAAATAAACATCCGACTCCATACACATTTCTCGGGATTATTCTTCGTTGAATTCTTAAATTCGTGGTTCGCTGTGACCCACGAAACCCACGAAAATTGGTATACGACGAATAAAAATGAATCCACAGTAATGAATATTGTGTATAGGTTTCATAATATAATGTTTGGTTGGGGCAAACTTAAGTTACAGAATGGAAACTAAAAATTTTGCAATCTTTCGATTTATAAAGGGGCATAACTAAATAATGGTTAAAGTGACACTACCCAAATTCAACTTGATCTGTGTTTTATCAGTGGAAGGCAAAATTAAACATTGCATTGTATAAAGCATTGATTGCAGTTGATTCAACTATAATCATGGACAAAGGAAGATAACTCCAATTTTAAAAATTACTTGAAAAATGACATTGATATTTTTAGAAATTACATTTAGTTAAGACAAACTCAAGTTAGAGAACAGAAACGAAAAATTCAGCAATTTTTTCATTTGTAAAGGGGCATAACCCTAGAACGGTAATCAAAGTGCTTGTAAGCACTGAATGGTTTAGTTTAAACATATTTTATTGTTCAAAATGACAAATGGATCAGACACAAGATTTACAACTTAGTAATGTCTTCTCCAATGGTAAAGATTTCTTTAATTTATCAGTAGGAAGTAAAATTGAATATTGCATTGTATAAAGCATTGGTTGTAGTTGATTCAACTACCATTATGCACAAAGAAAGATAACTCCAATTTTCAAAGAAGACTTTAAAATATTTTTAGAAATAAAGGGTAAAAAGTGCTTTAATTTATCAGTGGAAGGCAAAATTAAACATTGCATTGTATAAAGTATTGATTGTAGTTGATTCAACTATAATCATGGACAAAGGAAGATAACTCCAATTTTAAAAATGACTTGATAATTAGAAAAAAAAAGAAAGAAAAATTTAAACCAAAATTCAATCTTGATCTGTATATTGTGGTAATAAGCATTGTGTATAAGTTTCATAACATTTGGTTGAGGCAAACTAAAGTTAGAGAACAAAATGAAAAATTTAGCAATTTTTCCATTTGTAAAAGAGCATAACTCTAGAACGGTAAAAGTGACGCCAACAAAATTCAAACTTGATCTGTATTTAGTGGTAATAAGCATTGTGTATAAGTTTCATATCATTTGGTTGAGGCAAACTAAAGTTAGAGAACGGAAACCAACTTTGGGACGTACGGACAGACGGACGGACGGACGGACAGATGGACAAGGGTAAAACTTAATGCCCCCTCCGCTACGGCAGGGGCATAAAAAAAGGTTTTGACAACATAAATATAGAATGTAGTTCATACCTTAAATTGTGTAGAGTCTGTTGTGCATGACTAAATTGTGGTAAACAAACAGTGACAGTTTCATCTAACTTTTCCACAAGTATATTAGAAACAGTTTGACATTTATGTACTTCACAGAATATGACTTCTATAATTGTCTCTAGACTGTACATGCTGTCCACTCTTCTCATGTTCTTATAAACTTTTATATCTGATTCCTTAAAAATATAAAAATCAGCTACTGTAAACTGGTAACATCATATTTTTATAAAATTCAATTAATGTAACATGAAGCACTAAAGCAATCAAATTTTGCAACATGAAAACATAACATAACAATCAGCTACTGTAACATGAACATCATGAAGCACAATAACCAGATAACAATCATCAACTTTTACAACATGATGATGATGATGCACCATTATGTTACACTTAACTCATGAAGCACAATGAAATTTATATAATCAGGTATTTTGTTACTGGTTAATTACATTAACATTGTAAAGCACAATAACATTACAACCAAGTATATTGTAACATGGACATCATGAAGCACAATTACATTATAATCAGGTATAGTCTGCACCAAAATCTTTTCCAACTACATGTACTAGTCCGAAAACAAATATTCAGACATTTTCCTTATGTGTCTTAACAAAGTTTTGCAAACATTTATTAGTCGGAATAAGTCTTCACTAGTCTGGGGCATCTGACTAGTTGCTAATGGTGCAAGCTGGGTATATTGTAACATGAACATTATGAAGCACAATGACATTACAATCGGGTATACTGTAACATGAACATCATGAAGCACAATGACTTTACAATCATGTATGTTGTAACATGAACATCATAAAGCACAATAACATAACAATCAGGTACTGGTATATTGTAACATGAACATCATGAAGCACAATAACATTACAATCAGTTATATTGTAACATGGACATCATGAAGCACAATAACATTACAATCAGGTACCGGTATATTGTAACATGAACATCATGAAGCACAATAACATTACAATCAGTTATATTGTAACATGGACATCATGAAGCACAATAACATTACAATCAGGTACCGGTATATTGTAACATGAACATCATGAAGCACAATAACATTACAATCAGTTATATTGTAACATGGACATCATGAAGCACAATAACATTACAATCAGGTATATTGTAACATCAATGTCATAGAGCACAATAATAAAAATGTTGGAAATTTTGTGAAAGGATCAACAAGAATTCAAGAAACTGTCAGTTTTTAAGAGTTATTTTACAATTTATCATTATGAAGTTTTAAATTAACATTTGCTGAAACAAGTATTTATATGAAATCAAAGTATGACATATTTTTCTTATGTTGAAAGTCTGTAATATGAAGCTTAAGATTTTAATAAAAGTATCATATACATGTTAACTGAACAATATCAACCATCCATGTTAATAAGTTCAAAGTCAATCTGGTCAGATGAATCCTGCCAGACATGCATGTTCACCATACATGTATGCATGCAATCATTCCATACACCAAATAAAGTTGACCTATGGCTTATAGTATCTAGAAACAGACATAACCATATATACTTCAACTTGCCAGATGAAAATAATTCAAGGTCAGATGAACCCTGCCATACAGACATGATCTGGGGGAGCACTTACTATGTAATGTGTGGTAGGGATGAGCAGCTGGAATAGGTTGCTTTTTCATGCTTCATGAGAAATATATGACAAACTTGCTGATTGAATTTTAAGTATCTGAAACTAATCAGATGTCATTTTTTTTCACAGAGGCTATTAAAACTACAGTCATAATAAAATCATTAAATGCATCACATATTTATCAAATCTAGTTATCTGGCCATAAATCTGACTACTAGCCAGCAAGTGTTCCTTTATCAAACAGTCAATGGAACTAAGGACAGAGGACACTTGAGGCCATTTGATCTGTTGTGTGTTCAATATTTTATTTTTATTTTTATGTTTTAATATGTAAATGCTGGAGGGGGCACTTCAACCTTTTTGTGGTAGGGTTGAGAAGCTGAGACATTGAGTACACAACCCTTTTCATATATTTTAATGGAGTTTGGATTTTTTGGGGTTGGGGGTCATATCTAAATTCTTTAATTTTATTAGGCCATTAATTTTGCTCAATTCTTTATGGACACTTAGTTTAATCAGTTAACTGAAGGATTAGCTCCTCCGGTATGCTCTTGTATTTAGAGTAATTGACATGTACTTTAATCATATAACTTAATTACCAATTATTTACATAATTCAATAAACCATTAACTCCCTGTTGTGACATGATAATGAATGATTCTGGGATTATAAAAGTTCAGATTGATACAAATTTTAAAAATGGGTGTTACTATTAAAATACACCAAAATTTAAAACTTTAAAAAACAACAAATAATCAACTGTAATTAATTGACTTTTCCTATAAATTTATTGTTTTATTATGTTTTATTATGCTGTCACTATGTCTTATAGATTTTTAATGTTTTTTTCCTACACTTCATGCACTTTGAAAAAGATACAAAACTCTCAATTTGAGTTTCATCAATTTCACTCCTTTCCATGTTTCTAATAGACCTCATCGCTATTTGTCCGTCATTACTGGACACCAAAAAGGTTCCCGTAAATTTTTTACTTCACAATAGAAAATGTCTGATGCCCCAAAGGAAAAGTCATTGTTGCATGACGTCAATAGTTCAAGTGTCGACGATTCTCGGGTCAAGTGTGGCAGATATACAAATTGCATAAGGTCTATATTAGTATATAGCTATTTTGTTCATCTGCTTCTGACACGGGGAGGACTACTGTTATTGCCTATCGCAATCAACAGTATATCCTAGAGCACCGTCCCTTGGTGTCTCCTGCAGATGAACAAATTTCCATCTTTATAGATAATAATTTAAGTTTGTTCAAACTTTATTATTAATACTTTTTTTATATTTTTTTTTTTTTTTTTTTTTTTTTTTACATAAGGAAGGAAAGAAAAAAAAAATACTGTCACTATATATACTGTACAATGTCTCATGTTTGTTGCTTATACTATCATAATTGTTAATTTTAAATGCCCCCTGTGGGACCATGATTGGAATAATAAAAAATATTTGATATTTGATATACATCATTTTGTACATGTAGCATTTACTTCTACTAAATAAATCATCTGTATATTTATACCACAGACAGGGATATTCCATGATGAGACAGTTAGTTAACTTTGTAATGACATGTGAAATGCTGTATTTATTTATATTATGAAGAAGTAGGCAAATGGACTGTGGCTGAAATGACAATGTCCTAACTAGTGGAAACGACCTGTCCAAAACGTCTAGCCCCCAATGTAGTTTTCAACTGCAAATGTACAAACCTTTACTGAATGATTGTGTAAGGTTTGAAGTACATAATCAAATCTCCTTTTAACACTGCTTTTTGCCTCGTCAACGTCACTTTTCTCTGATACGATCTTAATCACCAGCGTGCATCGATCTGGCGGGTGTGTAACTTCACCAACAGCAGAAACCTGAATCTTTCTGTCGATTAATTTAACATCAGTAAGAGGAGAGATATTCTCGTCATCCATGTCGTGTGGATGTCTCTGTAATCTTGGTGAACGCATAATTGATCCATACACTTTGGATGGTGTATACTGGTTCATAATTTTACTTGAAAGTTTGTTTACCGTCGAGACATGTTTAAAGTCGCTTATGTGCTAAAAAAACATTGGCTTATTTGAAACTGGAACGGGTCTTTATTTTTGTGTACAACGAAAAAGAACACAGATCAAACATAAACAAAATTAAAAAAAATATGGCCGAAATGATTTGTATTTGTGGGGAAAAAACATGTATAACACAATTATTTTCAACTACTTCAGCGATAACTCAACTTCCTATTTGATTTGTGTCAGGTTGTCCCGAATAATTACCACGTTTAGCCGAAATGGCATCCAAATATGGTTCTAGACCGACTGGTACAGATGGAAGTGACTTTTGGCACAGGGAGAGTGTTGCTTACAGACACAAAATGAGGTATTACAACCCGAATTAGTTATAGCAAACAACGCTTTTAACCAACAGCCGGTACTGGCTTGACTTTGCTTGGCCTCGTCATCACCTGTACATTCAACAGAAAAATATATCTTTTGCAAGTCAGTTTCCACCCTATTGAATGAGCCATAAAGAATAAAAATTACTGGTAGAATAATAAATGAAATTAGACAAGTCACAAATAAAAACGGATTTTATAATATTTATAACATGTATGATGAGATGTACAAAAAATGTATTATCAAAGTTATAACATGTATAATGAGTTCTGGTAATATACATTGTGTATTGCAAGTTCAGTTATTAACAGTTGAAGTCATGTCTGTAATCATCATTAGTTTTATCATTTACTGTATATATTATAGCAATAAGTATGCACTCTCCCCAGATGTGAACATTGAGTGAATAGAACATACACATTAAAATACTGGCATCTTGACAGTTGTCATGTGCATATACCTTTGTGCATATATATGCTAATTGTTCTAAGATATTGATTGCAGATATGTTTATTTCCAAATGGTAAGTAAAAACGATGAATGCAATATGATTTTAAAAGATAAGCTAATTACATTTTTTTTTTTACTAAAATTCTTAAGAATTTGAAAGATAATTCACATTAATAAAAACATTCATGAGTTCAAAGCTACAGAACATCAGTGTTGATTGATAATTTTATTTTCATCAAAGCAGTGTAGCAAAAATGAAATTACCATTTACAAGAAATGGGTAGGAGTTGGTGTGTCAACATTTAAAGAAAACCAGGAAAAAGGACACAATTTAAATTTAAATTTTACATTTTGTTTTGCCTTTTTTGGCTATTACCTGTATCTTGACTGAGAACTACAATAATAGAGAAAACTGTGAACAACAAAAATGATCAGCAAGATAAGACATACAAATAGGTAAACATATAACTGAATTTGTGGTTTGGCTTCTGATAAGAGTTACAAATGTATTGCCCCAAAATGATAGTTTTTGTTGCAAATATGGTATCTTGTAAAACTATATATATATATACAGTGTTCCAGCTAGGATTTGAAAATGGAGGTGTGTGCACGTGTATATTAAAAAAAGGCTCTTAAGGATGTACTTACGTCAGGTTTAGGAATTTTTATACAACCATATATTGGTATCGTCGTCGCCGTCATCGTCCAAAGACATTTGGTTTCTGGACAATAACTTTAGTATTAGTAAATAGAAATCTATGAAATTTAAACATAAGGTTTATAACCTCAAAAGGAAGGTTGGGATTGATTTTGGGGGTTATGGTCCCAACAGTTTAGGAATTAGGGCCAAAAAGGGGCCCAAATAAGCATCTTTCTAGTGTCATGACAATAACTTGTGGAACAGTGTATGGATCTCTCTGAAATTATACCACAAGTTTCCATACCACAAAGGGATGGTTAGGATTGGCTTTGGGGTTTATGGCTCAAACCGTTTAGGAATTAGGGGCAAAAAAGTGAGAGAAAGCAAGGGTGTCATGGTTAATGGACAATCACTTAAGTACAAATTACAGTGTAAAAGAGGTAATTCAAACACAACTTTGAATTACCTCCCTTACACTGCTTTTAAATTATGTATAAAGAATTTTTGTATTGTCTTGAGGTCATTAGCTGTCAATTCATTTTTAGAAGTTACTATTTTAATGATTTTAAAAATGCTGATTAACATGATTAAGGTAAATTAACTTTAGCTATGATTATGTTTGTCATTTTCTATTTTAAGCCTTTTACGATGTATTTAAATGGGTTATTATGGTTGCAAACTCTATTGGAAATTTGAATTGAAATTATGACCATAACTGAGGGAAAGAATTTTTTTTTGGAAAAAGGGGGAGGGGGGAGGTTAAAAAAATTGGTGGTGGGGGTGGAGGGGAATTTTTCTCCTCAAGATTTCAGAAATCAAAAAGAAAATCCTTCAAATTTATTTTTTTTGAAAAAAGGGGGGAGGGGGTCAATTCAAATCATATAACCAATTTTAAGTTCTTTGACTACAGTTATTCTGTGTCAGAAACCTATTATGTGTCAAATAATTAATTACATTCCAAATTCAGACCTGTATCAAGCGCGAATATTGTGTCCATTTTTGCCCCAACTGTTCAGGGTTGGACCTCTGCGGTCGTATCCAGCTGCGCTCGGCGAAGCAATTTATTATCAGATGTTTGGACTCCTTGGTTTTTTTCGTACTATACAGGATAAGATATAACACCCATTTTTCTTTTCATATAAGACCTTAATAGCTCATAAAAGGTTATTTACCAAAATCTAAGCCGTTTCTAGATTTCTTATCTTTTGATTTGAGACCCAAATAATACCAATGCAAATATAAGGTAAAAGACTGAGTCAGCCTTTTCCCGCCATTTTTTTAAACTTAAATATCTCGAAAAGAAGCTCCATAACCTATCAATATTTTAAGTTTATTTTGTTCCTTAACTAATGTTCTTCTGACTTGTAGTATCAATTTTAAATTCTAGATTTTTATACGACCGCAAATTTTTTTTATATTGGTATGACTTTGTCGGCGTCGTCCGAAGACACATTGATTTTCACACAATAACTTTAGTTTAAGTGAATGGATCTCTATGAAAGTTTACCAGAAGGTTCAATACCACAAAAGGAAGTTTGGGATTGATTTTAGGGGTTATGGTACCAACAGTTAAGGAATTAGGGGCCAAAAATATGCATTTTTGTAACTTCTAGACAATAACTTGTGTGTTAGTGTATGGATCTCTCTGAAATTGTTCCACAAGGTTCCATATCATAAAGGGAATGCTGGGATTGATTTTGGGGGTAATTGCCTAAAAGTTTTAGGAACTAGGGGTCAAAAAAGGGGCAAAAAACAAGCATTTTTCTAGTTTCATGACAATAACTTGTATGTAAGTGTATGGATCTTTCTGAAATTGTACTACAAGGTTCCATATCACAAAGGGAAAGCTGGAATTGAGTTTGTGGGTAATTGTCAAAATGTTTAGGAATAAGGGGCCAAAAAACAAGCATTTACAGTTTCCAGACAATAACTTGTGTTCAAGTGTATGGATCTCTCTGAAATTGTACTGCAAGGTACCATACCACAAAGGGAAGGCTGGGATTGAGTTTGGGGTAGATGAATCATAAGGGGGTTCAAAAAATTGGGGGAGGGATTTTTTTTATGCCCCCGCCGTACCGGAGGGGGCATTAAGTTTTACCCTTGTCCGTCTGTACGTACGTACGTACGTACGTACGTCCCGAAATTGGTTTCCGTTCTCTAACTTGAGTTTGCCTCAACCAAATGTAATGAAACTTATACACAATGCTTATTACCACAAAACACAGATCAAGTTTGAATTTTGGTGGCGTCACTTTAACCGATCTAGAGTTATGCCCCTTTATAAAAGGAAATATTGCATAATTTTTAGTTTCCGTTCTCTAACTTAAGTTTGCCTCAACCAAATGTTATGAAACTTATACACAATGCTTATTACCACAAAACACAGATCAAGTTTGAATTTTGGTGGTGTCACTTTAACCGATCTAGAGTTATGCCCCTTTATAAAAGGAAAAATTGCAAAATTTTTATTTTCTTCTAAATATCAAGTTTATATAATATATTTTTAAAATTGGAGTTATCTTCCTTTGACCATGATTATAGTTGAATCAACTACAATCAATGCTTTATACAATGCAATGTTTAATTTTGACTACCACTGATAAAACACAGATCAAGTTGAATTTGGGTAGTGTCACTTTAACCATTATTGAGTTATGCCCCTTTATAAATAGAAAGATTGCAAAATTTTTTAGTTTCCATTCTGTAACTGAAGTTTTCCCCAGCCAAAGATTGTGAAACCTATACACAATATTCATTCCAACAAAACTCAGTAAAGATCAAGTACATTTTTTTTGTTTCAGTTCTCTAACTTGAGTTTGCCTCAACCAAATGTTATGAAACTTATACACAATGCTAATTACTACATAATACAGATTAAGTACAAAATTAGGTGGCAACACTTTTACCATTCTAGAGTTATGTCCCATTATAAACATAAAAATTGCTGAATTTTTTAGTTTGTCTCATCCAAATGTTGTAAAACTTATACACAACCGTTCTAGAGTTATGCATCATTACAAATAGAAAAATTGCTGAATTTTTAGTTTCTGTTCTCTACTTAAGTTAGCCTCAACCAAATGTTATGAGACTTACACACAATGCTTATTACCACAAAACTCAGATCAAGTTCAAATTTGGGTAGTGTCACTTTTACCGTTCTTCAGTTATGTCCCTTTATAACTATATGATATGCAAGCGGGGGCATCATCTGTGTCCACATGTGGACACTATCCACATTTATTTTCTTTATAATTTTCCATTTTAAGTTGGTTATTTTTGATTTTTATATTTATATAAAAGCAAATAATAATGATATGCTTTGATTTCATAAAAAATTGAAAGATTGGGGTTCTTTGATATGCTAAGTCTAACTGTGTATTTAGATTCTTAATTTTTGGTCTCGTTTTCAAAGTGGTCTACATTAAGGTCCAAAGGGTCCAAAATTAAACTTAGTTTGATTATAACAAAAATTGAATTCTTGGGGTTTTTGATATATGCTGAATCTAACCATGTATGTATTTAGATTTTGGATATTGGGCCATAATATTAGGTAAATTAAAATTTTTTAAGTTCTTAGACCACATTCATTCTGTGTCAGGAATTTATTTTTCTTTAAAATTTTCCATTTTAAATTGGTTATTTCTGATTTATATATAAAAGCAAATAATAATGATATGGTTTGAATAGGTGAATTAAAATTTTATAAGTTCTTAGACCACATTCATTCTGTGTCAGAAACCTATGCTGTGTCAAATATTTAATCACAATCCAAATTCAGAGCTGTATCAAGCTTGAATGTTGTGACCATACTTGCCCCAACTGTTCAGGGTTCGACCTCTGCGGTCGTATCAAGCTGCGCCCAAGGGAGCTTTTTATTAAAATTTCACCTAAGTACATCCATAAGAGCGTTCCCCCATGAAAAGGGGCATTAACTATACATGTAAAATGTACTTATTTCTTTGTATTATGAACTATAATACTTCATGCGCATTCACAATCATTTAATTTACAATAATATTTAAAGAACCATGATCATATCTTTCTAAACAATGTAGAAAGATATGACCAGTGTTCATTAAATTTATTAATGGCATTATGGGAATAACTGCCAATGCTACATGAATCTTTGCATAAATATGTACTATATAGAAATAAGAAGATTTGGTATGATTGCCAATGAGACAACTCTCCACCAGATATGCCATTATGATTGTCAATGAGACAACTCTCCACCAGATATGCCATTATGATTGCCAATGAGACAACTCTCCACTAGATATGCCATTAAGATTGCCAATGAGACAAATCTCCACCAGATATGCCATTAGGATTGCCAATGAGACAACTCTCCATCAGATATGCCTTTATGAATATCTGTTGCATTATCAGACTAAAAAGAAATGGAGGATATACATTATCCATTGATCACATGTATATTAAATGTACATGTATTTCTATACCATTATAATTTGGTTTGAAGTGAAATAAAGAAGAGAATATAGACTTGTATCTTTACTGTAATTTTAGGGAAGTGTTTAGATTGCATGATGAAGCATCATTCAATTATGCTACTGTTCAAATTCAACAACATTGAAAATAGTCTCTATAATCTTTTCTGAAGGCATTTAAAAAGGTCAGGAAATCTGAAATCATTTACCAAAAATAACTTTTATTAGCGCTTTAAAAGATCTAAATTATAGATAACATTCTTAAACAATTTTGCATTCAATTTCAATGTTTAGATTTTTTATCTTTAATAAAAAAAAAAAATTAGGAGTATAAAAGGGGAAATAACTCTATATAATATTTGTTGACCTATGCAAGTGTATTCCCTCAGGCTGAGATTATTGAAGTTTTATTAACAGTTATATGTTTGAGACCCAACCTGTAAAAGTAAATTGAGCCAATCCAAGTAATTACAGAGGTTTAGAAGATTTTTTGTACCTCAGTGGTCTTTTGTTCCAGTAAATGTTCAACCATTACTTTATGACCAGTAATTTAGCAGTCTTTAATTACATGATGAGTATTACAAAATTCTTACATCTACACTGGTCATTTGGTCCAGTAATTGATGAATTTTTACTGGACCAAACCATTTATTACTGGATATTGCCACATGTCTGACGGACTTGCCTGAGTTGGGAATGACTGAAATTAACTGGTAGACATGTCACAATTAAATCAGGTATCTTTTAATTAGCTATGGAAACATCTGGTGAATGGTTGATGATTAGGGGGAAAAAGGTCGTTCTATTTTTTTACTCTTTCCTTACTTGAAAAAGCACAGGGTGCAAAAATTCAGGGGGGGGGGCAGGGAACAGTGCCCCTTTTTTCCTCCTCCCTTGGACACTGATATACATAACACTGATATATATACTTCGTGTATTGTGATTAGTCGTCCTTGTTCAATACCTGCGAGAAGGTAACACCACAGACACTTGCCTCTGAAAAAAATTCAAGTATATAGGTAATTTCTTTTTCATAGACAAGTGCCTGTGGGTAACACCACCCAAAACAAAAGCTGATTTTTATCAGCTATAGTTAGAGGAGGGGATAAGACGTCTGTGCAATGCTAGGCAGTGTTGCCATAGAAGTGAGACATGAAAAGTACAGGTTACAGCCCCGGTCCTTATGGTACTGACTACTATATCTTCCAAGGCTTATCACTAGGTTTGTTAGTTAAAAAAAAAAAGAGTGCAGTGAAGTGATTGTTCTTTAGATCCTACCCAGTCAATGTTAAATATTTTAGTTACAATATTATGTCAATACCTAACTTGTCAAGAAAATTTTGTTTTTATTAAAAATTACTTAAGAAATTAATGGTGTACATGGTGTATGAATCTGTTATAAAAATTGGTTCAACCACAAATGTACAATCATGTACAAATGAAGATAAATCCAACTCTAATTTATAATGTGTTTAATAAATGTCACAAAGTTGCAAAATGAAAACAATCTTTACCCTTCAGTGCTCACAAGCACTTTGATTTTAAATGTATTCTCAAAGTGAACCTGTATCAAACTTGGTCAAAATTGATAATATATACATATTGTGGGCTTTCATTTGAAATAATATTGTTTAAACATCAATGGTGCTTTTATTCTATTTGATTAATTTAAAACTCGGATATTAACTAGAAAAACAATGTCTCAACTGAATTCATCGGCAAGGAGATTTATTATAAACAAACAATACCATGTAACTTTTTCCCCGCACTTGGAGGGCTTGTAAAGTTATAAGAGGGCTAGTAGAATGATAATTTAACTAGCCCTGCAGGCTAGTACAGAAATTTAGTTAGTGTCAAACCCTGATGTTAACATAAAAATTTGTGCTCTACACAAATGCCATAGAAGCTTTTGAAAATTCATGCAGTGCAATTAATTTACACACAGTTAATTTTATAACGATCAGCTTTTTATTTGTGATGCTACTGAATATCTTTATTTTTGCACATGTGTTTTGTAACAGAATCCAGTCTAAAAAAAAACAAAGGAAAATCTTACAACATTATCAGACCTGCTGGCAAAATGTTGAAAAATACTACATTGTAATTTATGAAAAAATATACATTTGGAGAAAAGAATATCTATGACTATTGAAAGTCTGTTCGATAATACATTGTATAATGAAAGTGTCAAGCAGAAATTTTCGGTTCTTTTAATTTAGTTAAAATTTGCTTAGGCCCAAAATATATAGTTCTGTTTCCTGCCTCTCAACTGTAACAAATCATTTAATGGATCTTTTTTGGTTAAGAATGGTCAAAATGCAGATATTTTTGTTACACATTGTTAAAAGTCCAGAATATTTTCACATATAGTCATCTATGTAAAACATTTTTTTTACCGGCCTGCCCTATTTTTTTCTAACAGAAGGCAGAATACAAGGATTTATATTTTTTGCCTTATATATATCTTTGACTGTTATCCACTTCAAAATTTCCCTTAGCAATATTATTAGATTGAAGTAGCCATCATATGCAGTTAATCATATTATACCGTCACTTTGATTAGACCATTTTTATGGGAGTTATGGGGCTCTTCCCATATTTTGACTATCATACCACAATGATACATTATGACACACAATTTAAATCCTCATTTAAACAGTGCAGATGACATTTTGCTTTGGCGTATATGTAACAATTATGTTCAATCAGAATATTGAATTAATACACACATAATATGACCTTATTATTTTCACACAAAAATGAAAAATCAAACTGACGTCTGAAATCTTTCAGTTTTATTTATTTAACTTAAACTGTCTAAAAATTTCTTGCAAATCTAAAGATGCATTTTCTTTAAACTTTCAGTTCCATAAACAAAGCCAGATTGAGAATGGATTTAGTGTTGCAAGTTGTTCTGTGTGTTCTGATGACAGTTAGAATCCTTCCAGCTTTAGTTTCATTAGTTGGTGTTGGACCAGTTAAACAGTTACGGAAATGGGATCTGCCTGCTCCAAGACCCTGGGAATACATGTGGAGCGTCAGCATCATAGCAGCAGTATTAGGACTTAGATCAATACCTAAAAATGAAGGTTTTCTGTTAAAGCAGTACATGATCGGAACAGTTGTATTTGGACTTTTACCAATCATTTATGGCATTGTTGACCAAATAGATGATTTATATGCATATTTAAATGAAAAAAGATGGAATGCCCAGATTTTTGGATATCCAGCTGTAATTATCTGGTTTATGTTTTTAACAGCTGCTATACAGCTACATGGATTTGGACTTTATTTTTCACTGCAACTATTGAAATCATGGAAGGTAAACAGAACAGACAAAAAGTTGCGTTAACATTGGCACAGTTTTAGCATATATATAGTTAAATTTATAGAATGTTTTACAAACTATGTGCCATTTAGATATCTCTGAATGATCTTTTTCACCATGAATGTTAATTATAAAAAGTTTCTCTTAAAAGTTTTAAACATATATAGATGTATTATCTTTAATGTTTGTTTGTCAAAAAGTCAAAATTTCACAGAAGTTATAATGTACAAAATAAAAATGTTTTACTGTTGTCCATGTTGCTTAGTTAAAGACTACTTTAAAGTTTTTGTCTTTAGTAATCTTAGAAAAATAATGACATAACCCCCAAGCTGTTGTATACATGTCATTGGACCGGCGCGGGATGCTTGTGCTATTTGATAGGTCATTTGCGCTTTTTCAAATGGACATTTGTGCTTTTTCTACAGGACATTTGTGCTTTTTTTACAGGACATATGAGCTTTATCAACTTAAATTTCAATTATCATGGTTAAAAGTATCCAACTTATATCCAAAACACAGCACATTCATATGTCTATATACAGATTAAAGTTTTCCTTTTCTTTCTTTAGTTGTGTTACTTTTCCGCTGACCAATATCCCACAGGAATCTAAAATATTTCGCCTTATAAAAGCCATGAATCTTTCTTTAAAGTCCACATGAACAGCAGGTGGTTAAAAACATTAATTTCGATCCCCACAAATTTAAACAAGCTTTGATAAACTATGATGGAAGAGTTTCTTGATCTTTCCAGTTGTTATAAAGTTGCTTAAAATTTAGTGCAAAATTTTGAATGCCTCATCCATAAAATTTTGTTTTATCTTTGTTTTACATGAATACAGTTTTTGTGATTTTAATATGGTCTGTACGGGTAAACTTTCAAAAAATGTGTGACTTCTAAGTAAAATCTGGTTAAGATTACAGGTAAACTTTTATAGTTAAAAAGCGCAAATGTCCAGTCAATTTAGTTCAGGTGTATCAAAGTGTAAAGCGCAAATGTCCTTTTAGTGTTAGATGTAAAAAAGCGCAAACATCCCACACCCTTTTGGACCTATTCAAGATATTTTTTTTCTAAGCACACATAACTCCTATATACAGATATATGCATTTATTTAATGAGCTTCATTAAAGTATTCCAGTTATGTTTTGTTTACATATCGATGTACTTAGTTATTTGTTTATTTCCTTGAAATTTTATATATGTAGTTTTTATCATGGAATTATGGGTTATATATATAATGTATGTGTGGGAAAATAAAAAAGTACAGTGACTTGATCTTCGTTTAAAAATTTAACTGTACTTTTTGTATTTTGTAAAATCAGCAGTTTGTAATTTGTAAAATTAGCAGTACATATATGTAACTTTGATAGTAAAGCATGTTTATACATGTATCAATCTTCACAGTGTATATAGTCAAATTTTTATTCAGGACGAAATATTGGTTTTAGACATCCTCAGTTCCAACAATTGAAAGAAACTTGCTTTTGATTCTTTTTTTTCCCCCTAATTTGAGAGCTTTGTTATATAATCTAAAGTTTCTGAAATTTTAATGATTGCAATACACCTTATCACTATTTAGTCCATTACTGAAAAAACAGTCATTTAGACAACTTCCTCTTTGGGTCAAATTTTGCAAAAACAAAGGTCATCAGCAATGAGCTGAGCGAGGAAAAAGTTTGGAAAGTGAACATTATAAAATTTTGATAGTTTATGAAGCAATTTTTAAAAGACAAATTAAAGTCATTAAACATGTTTTGTTTGATGTGTTTACGATGGTTTAAACATGTCTGTATGAAAAGTTTTATGCACAATATATTGTTTGAACAAGGCCTCAGATAGCTTTGACTGGTTTGAAAAAGTTGTGTAAAGTTTAAAGTTAGGGCCGAATACTATGTTCTGTAACTTTTGCTAGTATCATAATAACATTAAGGTAGCTGGTGTGTCTAAATATTCAACGACATAATTTTCCTTAAACTTCTGTAAAAGACTTCTAGGTCAATGTTCTTTCAAATTTCAATATAAAACTAAAAACTGTGGTTATTAAAATACATTGAAATTAACGAAATCGGGGCTATTTTATGTTGGTAATATAGGGGAGAAAATTCAATGCTAGAATTCCTTTATATTAATAATTCTGAAATATCAAATAAAAAACGGGGTCACAGGCCTTATTTTCTTGAAAAAAACAAAACAAATTGTCCTATCAAATTCAGTTTAATTATCTGTCCTTGATTTTAAAAGGATTTGTTCTAAGAATTTTAAATCCACTTTTCGACACTTAATTTTTAGATAGTTTGATATTTTTGTTGTATATTGAATGATGATTGGTAAAAACAAATTTAAAACAAAAAAGTATTTTTGCAACATGCCCAGAATGGATGCTCAGAACAAGACACCTGATCTACTTTAAGTTCATCTTCTAAGATTGATATTACAAATGTATATTAGACATTCAAAACCTAAAATATCTTTAAACTTATTGCCATTCACAGTCAGTATCAGTCAATATAATTTTAGAACTTATCCAGATTGGCATAAGTAGCAATAAGGTGTAATGATAAAAATTTAAAGCCCTTGTAGCGACTTCATCTGTTGTCAAATTTTCTTGAAAGGACAACATCAAAAGATTGATGTAGGATAAAGAACTTAATTTATGTAGTTTGGGGATGGGGGTTAAACTCTCTTCCAAGTTTTGTTATCTATTTTCATGACTTTGATTTTCTGGTTAAAGAAATAAGTATCAAAGTTTTGTCCTAAATGTGTTAGCTTTTGCTATCATATCGTTCAGGAAAGTCAATATTTAGGGTGAGATTATTTGAACAAAAGTGTAAAATGGTACATGTACATGTATCTACGTCATTTAAATGCTAAATAATTGGCAAGTTTGAAAGATAAGAGTCACAGTGAACCACAATACATGTACAGTTCAACACAGATACCATTTATGTCTGAATTGATGGAACGACTAATTTTAAGTAATATGAACAGAGTTTCTGGTATGATGGAAACTTAAATTAGATGACAAAAGGACATTTAAATGAGATGGTAGAGTTATGAATATTTAGTTTTTTTTTATTTTCCAGGAGTTTCCATTTGTTACTTGATTTTGTTATACATTTTTTTTGTACATGTAACATGATTTTGTGTATTAAATTTGTTCTTTCAGAATCAGTAAATACTATCTTTCTTCCACATATGTTAACTTTTTTCGCACTGCTGAATTTCTAATGAGAGTTGTTACTGTTAACGTCACTACAAGTACATGTAGAAAAACTTTCTGCAAATTAGAGCATAGTAGTACATTTCTGAAGATTTGGATTAAATAGAGGATTTTATTTTAAAAGAAAGTTTAAAAATACTGGTACAAATATTTTCTAATTTTTCAATTCCTAGTTGTATCATTGTAATTTTGGAAAATGATGTCTTGGGGTTATGCTTTTAGTAAAAGTGTTCTTCACACTTGTAATTATTTTTCCCAGTTTAATAAATGTGAACAAAATGATAATTTTGATATTAATTGTAAGTTTTGTAAATTTGTTATATAAATTGGGAGTGCATAGAAAAAACGTGTATTGTTTTAAATGTGTGAAATTCCTATTTATTTCCTACGATTTTGTATGTTGTAAATGTGTGAGGTGATATTACAATCAAAATTATTTTGCTCATTGTTTACCATTGTGGAAGCAGTATTACTGTCATAAGAATAAAACCAATGAAAGGAATGTTATTTGTGCAATATAAAGCCACTGCCATTCTGTGGAAGGTACTGTTGATTTTCAATTAAAATTATTCAATATTCATGGACTTTTCTATAAAAAACCTATTATATTCGAACTTATATTATTGATCATGACTTTTTAGCTCACCTGGCCGAAAGAGCTACGTATACAAGTCTACGGGATGTATTATGGTATACCATTGTCTGTTGTTGTCAACATGTCGTACAATAACTCAAAAACGCTTTAATTAATTTGCATGCAACTTTGGTGAATTGTTTATATCTATTGACGTGAGCTCCCTTTCAATTTTTATAAATTTTAGATTTTACGTTTTCGAGTTATTGGGTTTTATTCATTAAACAAGAGGCTGTCAAAATGACAGCAAATCGGATTTCCTGAAGAGGTCGAACCCTGAACAGTTGAGCAAGTATGGACACTATATTTAAGCTTAAAACAGCTCTGAATTTGGATTGTGATTGAATATTTGACACAGCATAGGTTTGTGACACAAAATGAATGTGGTCAAAGAACTGAAAAATTTGAAATTGAACATTTACCTATTATGGTTCAATATGCAAAATCTTAAGTACATTGTTAGAATCAGCATATCAAAGAACCCAAAGAATTCAATTTTTGATGAAATAAAACAAAAGTTTAATTTAGGACCCTTTGGACCTCAATGTGGACCAATTTGATAAAGGAGCCCACAATCCAAAATCTCTAAATACATGGTTAGATTCAGCATTTGGAAGAACCCTATATATATTTAATTTATGTTGAAATGAAACACAGTTTAATGTTATCCATATAATTTTCTGTTCAAAGGGAAATCACTAAAACTGAATAAATTATAAACACATAGTTCTCTAAAATTAGATATGATTTAACCACTATTTTCTTAAATTAGATATGATGTTACACAATGTATATCTATTTTCAAATTATAATCATATATAATTAATAGTTCCAAATATTTTTTCTTTCATTTGTCACAAACTAATACAGATCTGCAACATATCTATCAGTGTTAACAACTTTATCTACACAATGTAATGTAATGAAATATATCCTTTAATAAAAATAGATTATTATCTAATTAAAGGAGTTCACTTCATCAAAAAAAAATTATATATATAGCATTTAGAAAATTAGTTTATACAGAATAACAAACAAACCTACCAGAAAATTCTTCAAACAATTTACCAAAGAAAAGAGAGAAAAAAATCCAAAATGTCTTTTTAAAATCCTTTAAAAAATGAGTGACTTCCTTTTGAACAGAATGGAGTAATTAATAAGAATTTCATCAAAAATTGAATTCTTGGGAAAGGGCTATAACTCAACAACGAGAAAAGCTAAAATTGTGAAAATTGAACTTGACCTTCATTTAGTCACAGAAAACAACATATCTAAATTTGAAAAAATTTCTTCAAAGTGTTTTCATGTTAATGAAAGGACATTGTTTGGCAGCTGCAGCCTGCCCGCCCGTTGTACATCCCCAAATCAATAATCCATTTTTCGAAAATCCGGTTAAAAAGGGGGATTTTCCAGTTTTCGGACAATAACTCAAAAACGCTTTGAGCAGTTTTCATGAAACTTTGGTGAATTGTTTGGATCTATTAATGTAAACTCCCTTTCAATTTTTATAAATTTTAGATATTATGTTTCCGTGTTATTGGATTTTATTGATACTTTATTGACCATTTTTATAAAGTTTTTTGCAGGAACTATGGCAGATAGAAACTTCAAACAGCCAAAATTTTCAGCAAAGCAAGACATACAAATGAGCCAACATGACAGAAAATTTTAATAGATCCCTTACAGGAGTTATTTCCCTTGAAAGATTTTATTTTACCAATTTAGTAATATAGATATCTTGACAGAGAGAAACTTTATATAACAAAATAGTTCAGAAAGTAAGACCTTCAAATAAGTCAAGACCTATAAATGAGACATGACTGAAATCATCAATTGATCTCTTATAAGAGTTATTGCCCTTGAAAGATGATTTTTTTACCCTTTTTTTTTGGTTTCTTACATGACATTTAGACCTTACAATTATTCTGTCCACCAAAGATAACTTTTGCCTTTTAGTATCAAAAGAAATTACCCATTGCATCCAAGAAACTGTTCTAATCATGAAGACTTATTGGTGACATAAAAATGAGGTCAAGTTCAAAGAACCCTGTCAGACAGACATGTTCACCTTACAATCATTCTATATACCTAATTAATATAGTTCGACATATTGCTTACTATATATATGCAACAAACCCGATCACATAAACTAATTGTTCACCAATGAACAATGGAAATTAAGAAATAAGGTCAGATGAACATGAAAACTTTGCAATCATTCTATACAACTAGTACAGTTAACCTATTGCTTATAGTAGCAAAGAAAGACTATAGGCTTATAGTATCTAAGAAAGACTATCACAAACATTTAATGTTGATCACTCTCCATGAAATGAATTCAAAGTCAGGTGAACACTGTCTGACTGTTTGTTTACCTAGCAATGATTCTATATTCCAAATATACTTGTTTATTACTCATAATCAATGAAAAATGATCATTAAACCATGAAATTTGTTTTGTGAAAGGAAAAAAATCTTTCGAATATACATGGTACATTGTAACAATAATACAATACTTGTAGGACATAAGATCAGACATTTGTCGAAAAAGACCATTGGACGAATTCGTCCATTATTCACATTTCTTGATCCTTGTCACATTTTTGCTGATTGGTCTATTTTTTCTGTATCTGCAGTGAGGGTTTACCAGTCTCTTTATCTATGGAACCAATCAAAAAGTCCTCAAGTTAACCCCGAAACAAAACAGACTCATTGTGATGTCTGATGTTACAAAATTTACTTCAATTCCCAAACAGTATCTATAACAAAGATTGGTCATATTTAAGTAAAATAAATGGGTAATGTGTCCATGGGACACAGATAATGCCCTCTCTTGCATAAAACGTTATAAAGGGACATAACTCAAGAACTGTAACAGTGATGCTACCCAAATTGGTACTTGATCTGAGTTTTGTTGTAACAAGTATTGTGTATAAGTTTCATAACATTTGGTTGAGGCAAACTTAAGTTAGAGAACTGAAACAAAATTCTGCAATTTTTCCTTTTGTAAAGGGGCATAAATCTAGAAAGGTAAAAGTGACGCCACCCAAATTCAAACAAAATCTGTGTTTTGTGGTAGTAAGCTTTGTGTATAAGTTTCATAAAATTTGGTTGAGGCAAACTTAAGTTAGAGAACGAAAACCAATTTCGGGACATAGACGTACAGATGGACAAGGGTAAAAATTAATGCCACCTCCGCTACGGCGGGGGCATAAAAATAATAAATTAAAGCAATCAAAATACCTTTCCTTCCATCAGTTTTATGTTATAAGAATATTTTGAATTTAAATTAATTGACTTGTTTCAAACTGCATTTGATGTCAATTTTTTAAACAAACAAATAAATCAAGATAAATCTGTCAGTTATAGCTAATTAATTTACCAGGAGACAAGGTTTAAAGTTTCAAAATAGAAGGTCACAGACCATTGAACACCACTAATTTGAACCCCTGTCTATACCAAATGATCTATCTTCAGAAAGATTCAATGAGCATAAATTTAGTATTGATTGACTTACAAATTGCTGATAAAACAAGAGTGTGCATGCTGAAATGTCTTGCCTGTTTTACTCATCATTGAATTCATATTGAATTTTGTAATATGAAGGTTTTACTAGAAGTATCACATAAACTTAACATTATCAATGTTCTATAAAAATGGTGTCCCAGTCAGATGAACCATGCCAGACAGACTTGTAAGGTACCAAATATAGTGGTCATATTGCTAATAGTACCCGAGAAACAGATCAAACCGCAAAATATTAACATTGACCAATGAAACATGAAAATGAGGCCAAGGTCCTATCAGCTCTGCCAGACAGACATGTACACCTTACAATCATTCCATACACTGAATATAGCTGACCTATTGCTCATAGTATCTGATAAACAGACAAAATAACAAAAACTCATCATTGACCAATGAACCACGAAAATGAGGTCAAGGTCATATAAACCCTCCCAGACAGACATGCACTCCTAGCAATTGTTCCATACACTAAATATAATTGATCTATTGCTTATAATAACTGAGAAATAGACCAAACCATAAAAACTAAAGATTGTCTACTGAACCATGAAAATGAGGTGAAGGTCAAATGAAACCGGCCAGTCAGACATGTACACCTTACAATCATTCAATACACCAAATATAGTTGACCAATTGCTTGTAGTATCTGAGATACGGAATTGACCACGCAACTTAAACCTTGATCGCTGATCCATGAAATGAGGTCAAGGTCAATTGAAAACTGTCTGATGGGCATGAGAACCTTGCACGGTACGCACATACCAAATATAGTCATCCTATTACTCATAATAAGTGAGTATTTCACTTAACAAATTTTTTCATGAACCATGAAAATGAGGTCAAGGACAATGGACATATGAGAGACGGAAACTTCATAACATAAGGTATCTGCACAAAAGGTATGAAACATTCTAAAATTTAAAGCTTTAAACAAATAGTTTACGCTGTCCTGCCGTCGGATTGTTATACCTATGTCTCGCATACTGTGACTTACATCCTAGGCGACACAAAAAATCATAATTTATAAATAACCTAGTTTATTTCACATGTATTTAACAACATGAAGTTAATTTATTCAAATAAATCTTTAGTCATTTATCAAATATAACAATTTAGCCCTTTAACATTATTTCAATAAACATTGTAAGGGCACATTGTATCTATAAATTCACGTCTGTATGGTAATAATGCCAAGTTTTGTACAAAGGTAACATAGTTAAAAGATGTTCAGTAAACGATTGTGTGTGACTTGTTTAATCATCTTGACTGACAGGATCTATCTTAATACCACTTCTGATTTGTCCCCAACCGATCAACCTGAAAAGAAGGAAGAACAAAACATTCAATTCCTACATCAAATAGACAGTAGACAGTTATAGAAACTTTTCCACAATATCTGAGTTAATATCTCATCAA